AGACGGAACTGGTAAAAGAAAGGAGCCAGGGGCTCCTCCCAACCCCATGTGACCCCTGAGGAACACATCCTCAAACGGCCTTAAGAGTAAAAATAACTGAGTTTATGTGGTCTAACTGTATGGCCTTAAACACCCAAAAGGAAAGTATAACCAAAGATTAAAAGGGCCAATACAATTTAATAAGAGTCCATATGTATAGCTAAAGGCTACATAACAAGCAACAATGCCAGACAGGCGACAACTTCTTTTGAGTTGTTGGCCAGGGTGGCCAAAGGGATTCCCAGATAGTGACCCAGCATAGAACTGAGAAAATGAACAGCAGACCCCAATCTTATCCAAAGTAATATTGACAACTGATTTCGACTAGATGAAGAATAGCTGACCCTCCTATAACAAAGAACTTTAGACAGGCTGTCTAGATTCACCAGAAGGGCAAGTAGTGGGGAATGGCTGGGGATGCCAACAACACAGCAGACAGTAGCAGGGATATCAGAGTATAAAGGCTCTAGTGAGGGATGGGAGGCTATGTGAGGGTGCTATCTGGGAAGTGGGTGTAAAAATAAATAAATTTAAAAAAATTTTAAAAGTAGTAATTCTTCAAAGCATAAATATTTGCTCCTTAATAATTGGTGATGTGAAAAACTTTACCACTGAATTCTACCTGATGACTTTATATCCATGCTCAGATGCCAAGGAGCTGACTTTATATCCATGCTTAAATGCCAAAGAGCTAAGAAAGTAACCGACTATGACTAGTAATAATCAGATATATAGAGATTAGAAATGCACGTGCATCTTAGTGTCAGTTGTATTGAAAATGAATTTTTGTGTATGAAACTGTATTTTAATAGTGAAATGGAGATCTTTTTTAAAGTTTAAAACCTCATTTAATTTTATTTCTTATAGGGTTTATACTGAGTACAATATTGTATAACTGTATTAATTCAACTGTAAACCTAAAATTTACAGCCAATTTTGAAGGCGATGCATGTTAGCTCTGGAAATTTGTATTGAATATGTCAATGCTGTTGTAATCAAATGCTTCTTCTGATTGTGTGGTTATTAAATAAATAATTAAAAAACAAATACAAAAATAAATAAAGATTTTACTTTAAAAAAGTACAAATCCAGAAAATTTTATGGTAAAAAGCTATATAGCTATTTATGTACACTGAAAGTTATTAAAATAAAAAAGAATAAAAAATATCATGATTGAAAAAATGATTAAACACACCCAAGAGGGTGCAGGAAATGTATTCCAGAATAGCCAAAAGAAGCCTAAGAAAGCAACATCACCACAACAGCATATCAGTGATTAATAAAAATCAGTCAATAATAATTCTCACTCTTTAACAGTCACTTTAATCAGACTACCTGATTAATTTAGAAAACAGATTACATCTTTTTGCGGTCTCAAACAAAAACATCTTGCCATGAGTGACCAGCACCACCTTAAGCAAAAGGATGGAAAAATGTATTCCAAGCAAATATAACTAAGAAATAAGAAGGCATAGCTATTCTATTATCTAACAAAATAGACTTCAAACTAAAACTAATCAGAAAAAATAGGGAAGGGAATTGCATACTCATTAAATGAAAAACCCACCATGAGGATATTACAATCCTGAATACATACGAATCAAAAACAGTGACACCGAATTTCATAAAGAAATACTTTTAGATCTTAAATCAAAGATTGAGTCCAATCTAGTATTAGTTGATGACCTCCGTAACACACTTTCATCAATAGACAGGTCATTCATGGAAAAAAACAAAATAGAGAAATCCTGGAGTTAAATGACATCATAAATTAAATGGACAGAGTAGATATTTACAGAACATTCTTTCCAAACACCAAAGAATACAATTTTTTTCTCAGCAGCCCAAGTAACTTTCACCATAATCAACCAATCAACCACATATTAGGACACAAAGCAAGTCTCAACAAATTTAGAAATATTTAAATAATGTTCTGTCTGACTACAAAGGAATAAAGCTTAATATAAGGATAAATGTCGCTAACAATAGAAATGGGAAAAAAGGTACAAACTTATGGGAACTAAAGAACACACTACTGAATACAAATTGGGTCCAAGGAGAAATTAAGAAAGAAATGAAAAGATTCCTAGAAATGAATGAAAGGGAAAACACAACATACTAAAATCTATGGGACACAATAAAAGCAGGCTTAAGAAGACAGTTTATATCACTAAGTTCCTACCTAAAAAAGCAAACAAACAAAAAAACCTGGAGAGAGCTCATATTAATGAGGATGTCCCTGAAGGCCTTGGTAAAACAAGAAAAAAAATGCACAAATGACTGTGAGCTGGGTGTGGTGGCACACTCCTTTAATCCTGTCACTTGGGAAGCAGAGGCAGGCAGATCTGAGTTCGAGGCAAGAATGGTCAACTGGGGCTATACAGTAAGACCCTGCCTCAAAAAAAAGTATGATAAGAGTATGAAAGGCAGAGACAAAGTTAAAGGTTAGTAAAAACTTTATTTCTCCATGTTTGTTCTATGACTCTTATGTAGTATCTTAAGCAATAATGTCTAACTGTTAAGTTCTGGATGGAAGTCAAGAGCAATGGTGATAGCCAGCATTGTCTGAGGTTCTATGGGAACTCGCTGGTCAATAAGTCCTAAGGAGGGACTCTCTTCCTGGCGTTGGGCTTTTTATTTGCTAGCCTATGGTGTTTGATAGGAAGATTGTCATCATATTTATAGGGTAAATCCATTTAAACTATATCCATATCTATATCTATCTATATCATCTACCTATCGTCTATCTATCTATCTATCTATCTAATCTATCATCTATCTATCATCTGTTTCTAGCTCTCTCTCTCTATCATCTATCTATCTATTATCTATCTATCATCTATCATCTATGATCTGTATCTATCTATCATCTATCATCTATCTATCATCTATCTATCTATCATCTATCTATCATCTATCTATTTTCTATCTATCTATCTATCATCTATCATCTTCTATCATCTATCTATTTATCATCTATCTATCTATCATCTATCTACCTATCATCTATCTATATCTATCATCTACTTATCTATCATTTATCATCTATGTATCATCTAATCTATCTATCTATCTATCATCTATCTACCTATCATCTATCTATCTATCTATCTATCATCTATCTAATCTATCTATCATTTATCTATCATCTGTTTCTAGCTCTCTCTGTCTGTCTGTCTGTCTATCTATCTATCTATCTATTATCTATCTATCTATCATCTATCATCTATCTATCATCTTCTATCATCTATCTCTCTATCTATCTATCTATTTATCATCTATCTATCTATCATCTATCTACCTATCATCTATCTATCTATCTATCATCTATCTAATCTATCTATCATCTATCATCTGTTTCTAGCTCTCTCTCTCTGTCTGTCTGTCTATCTATCTATCTATCTATTATCTATCTATCTATCTATCGATCATCTATCTATCATCTATCTATCTCTTCTACAGTAGTAGGTTTCCATGCAACATTTTCAAAAGTCCTTTATTTTTAGTTATCCCTCCCTAGCCTCCCTTCCTCTATCCTGCTTTCCCATTCACAGACCCCATTTAATCCTTCCTGTTCCAGTATTCTCCCTCCCCCTTTACATCATTATATTCTATATCCTTTTTCAGGAAACTCCATACACATGGGCCATAAAAATTATTTTCTTTGTCATAGTTAGCTTCAGACAGAATCAAACCTAGAGTCACCTGGGAAGAGGGAATCTCAACTGAAGGACTGCCTTATCAAACTGGCTTATGGCCATGTATGTGAGGCATTTTCCCCATTGGTAATTGATTTTTGAGGGTCCAGCCCATTGTGGGCAGTGCCATGCCTGAGCAGCTGTGCATGATTTGCATAAGAAAAGTGTTTCAGCAACTCAGGAGACGGAACCCAGGAAGGTGGATTCCTCCAAGTTTTCTACTTGAGTTTCTGCCTTGACTTCCCTCCATTATAGACTGTAACCTGCAAGATTAAATAAACCCTTTCCTTCCATAAGCTGATTTTTATTGGTGTTTTTTTCACAGCAACAGAAATCAAACTAAGACCACTGTTTTTCTTTGTTTACTTTTTTAAGGCCAGTTTACAGAACAACTTATGAACATTACTTTGTATATAAGATGCTGAAGAAATTTCCAGAATTAACTTCTCAGCTCAGTGATGAACATCTGAGAAAGTTGAGCAAGAACATTGTATCTGAAACCTGGGTCAAAGGCAGCACAGGTAATTGACTCATGTGGCGTGGCATCTGGCAGAATGACATGTATATACTTGTGTCAAATTGGCTGTCATTATAATGCTCATAATTTCACTTGGCGTGTTACAATGTATTATTTGGATATATCTCACATTTTAGTAAGATTTATAACATATACAAATGTACCTGCACTTTGTATAAACATCCAAGTTACTCAGAGTATTTGTGACATACAAAACGTTGTATTTAACTCTTAGGATTTCTGGTTCATCAGGTTTGGAATGGACCCAAATTATATTTCTAATAATCTGACAGCTAGCAACAACATGTAATATAAATTTAGCAACAGTTCAATATTATTGCTTTGCATAACTGAATGATAATAGTCAGCATACTTACCTGCCTGGTCCTTGCAGTGAGCTAGATTTTTGCAAAAGTACTCAGACATATTTTACATTCCAGTTGTGGTTTTTAGTCTGTTGACCAGGATATAGTAGATATGTCAATAGAAATTCATCTATTTTAATCTTTTGGGGGCATACAAGTTACATGCTTTTATGTCAAGGACATTCCTTTTTCATTCCTTACCCGACGAGTGATGATAGATAGAATTATTGTTTGCTATCAAGGACCCCTCCCCCAAGGACTAAAAACATCACATGGAGGAAGCCTGTTTCCAAATAAATTTCAGACACTTTATCCCAATGCTGACCTGGTCCTCTGTGTTTGTCACTGTTTGAAGAAAGCGGTTCATCAAGATCATGACATTTAAAACCAAATTAGAATTTTGGAGACATGTGTCTTTTGAAAGATTTACATATTTTGAGAGTTTTTCCCTAATGGTTTTCTCTCATAATTAGTTCCATTTAATCAGAGTCAAGCAGTGGAAAATAAATCAAGAGAGTTTTGCAGAAATTAAAATGATTTTAAAGGAAAAAATAACAAATGTTCTACATTGTTTTGCTATTAGCTAGAGGATAGTAATTTAAAATGACTTTGTTTTGTAAGCTCTGAAGTTATATTTATAATGGTAAAAAGTGTTGGAACAACCTAAATGGCCTTCAAAGATTGACTACACCCATTGCAATACATCAGTTCTGTAAGATTGTTGGCAGCGACCGAAAAGGATAGACTTGTATGTGTATGCATATATGTATATGCTAAAGTTAGTGAACAAAAGTAGAATAGTTGCAATTTATGAATATTTTTAAAAGTTCAAATGTAATTATTTGTTGTATTTTAAAATGAGTGAGTCTAGGGGCTGGAGAGATGGCTCAGTGGTTAAGAACACTTTTTTTTTTTCTTGCAGAAGACACGGGTTCAAATCCCAGCACCCACATGGCTGCTAACAACTATCTGTAACTCCAGTCCCAGGGGATTTGACAGCCTCTTCTGACCTCCGCAGGCATTGCATGACATGGGTACACTTACCTACATGCAGGCAATATGCACATATACATAAAATAAAAATAATAAATAAATAAATAAATAAATAAATGAGGGAGTCTAGAATGATGTTCCAAAATCATAAATTTTTTTTTCCTTAGTGGAGGAGAGTAGAACTGAGGGCTGGCAGGATTTCTGTGTTTTCAATATCCCCAAATAGTCTATTGTGATTAAGACCAACTCTGCTCCTATTGGGGTATGATTTCTAGTGTCACTCATGCTACAATGTGTCCCTACAATACTACTTTACCAAAAGCCAAAAATTGCAGACATCTGATCTTTTGTTTGAGTCTGCAAAACATAGGCTAAATGTACCATTTCTCACTATAACGGCAGGCACCTTTGGCATTTTGTTGTAGTAATGAAAGTTAATTCAAGAGCAATAAAAGCAAACAATTCTCTCCCTCATATATATGTAAATTAATTATCTCACAAAAGGTGTGTCATGGGTGTTTGCAATTATGCATTATTTATTATTTACTTGTTTATTTATTTATTTATTTACTTACTTATTTGAATGCATGTATTGCCTGCATGTAGGTAAGTACGCCTATGTTGTGCAATGCCCGCAGAGGACAGAATAAGCCGTTGGATTCCCTGGAACTGGAGTTATGGACAGTTGTTAGCTGCCATATGGACGCTGAGATTCAAACTCAGGTCTTCTGCAAGAGCAACTAGTGTTCTTAACCTCTGAGCCATCTCTCCAGGCCTATGCATTTATTTTTTAAAGAAAGTTCTAAAATTAAAATTAGGAGCAAACATTTAATTCTGATGATATCTTAATACTTTACTATAGTTAACAAGATACCAACTTTAAGCTGATTATAATAAATAAAACATTTCAACTTGTATCTAAACAGACTTTTTTTAAAAAATTATATTTGCTTTTCTTCACTTGCTCCAAATCCTCAAAATCATCTTGAGTTTTTAAGACACATAGTTCAAACAGATCAGATGTTTCCCTATCAAAGAGTCAGCTCATTAGACAACAAAACTTTGTAGATCTCTCTGTTCATCCAGCTTAAGGAAAAAGGCCAACTAGGTGTTTTCCTCTCTCCTTTTGATTTATTCATGTGTCTCTCCTTCTGCTGTGATGTAAAGTTTTCCCTCATGCAGCCCCTTGTCTCCAGGCTGGGGACTTTCAGTCTGTCGCAGAGGCTTATACCTCTGGTGGTGTTCTACACACCTCTTTGCACCTTCTGGTCTTTTTATTTGGCCATTAGTTCTTTAAAGCTGCATTATTTAAGGAAGCTTCTTAAGCTTACTATTATTTCAGCCTCTTATACATTCAGCTTCTGTACACAATAAAATATTAATATGGAAACATTTTGATTTTTAAGTAGGGAATCAAACACGTGTATCCAGGTGATCATGATACTAAAGCATGCTATCTCTTCATGCTATTAATTTATTATGGGATTCTATATATAAAGATTACTTACATAACTATCAAAATTACTGAATATAAGGGGCTTGGGAGATGGCTTGGTCAGTAATGGGCTTGTAGCAAGCATGGGCCCCTGAATTCTCTCCTCCGGCACCTGTACAAGAGTTGAGCCTATCCATGCACTTACAATCCCAGGAATGGAGACAGGTGGATCCTTAGGGCTTTCTGACTGGCCAACTTAGATGAATTGATGAGCTTCCTGTTCAGTAAGATACCCTGTAAATAACAAGGCAGAAAGTAATGAAGGAAGGCATTCAGCATCCACTCCAGGCATCCAAAGACACATGCACAGACATACAAACAAACCACATGCAAAATTATTGCATATACTATAAATTAAACATAATCTCTGCTCTATATTATGTATACAAATTTGGAGACAGAGCTTACTGACATTGAATGATCTCAAGAGTTTTCCATTTGATTTAGTTTTATATGGCCCATGTTTAAGACTGACAACCTCATGAGAACTAAAATAATTAACTTATTTGAGATTCCACCTTCATAGCTAATGTGGTATTGGATTCTAGGTTAGGACTTCTTGACCTGGAGAGATTACTCGGTGGTTATAGTGCTTGCTGCTCTTTCAGAGTTCTCTTCTCAGCAGCCACATCTGGTGGCAACCATCTTCAACTCCAGCTCCAAAGAACGCCAATGCTCCCTTTGGGCTTCTGCAGGCATCTACCCTCACATGCACACATCCCCACCCCCAGACACTCTCATTTATACACAATAACAAAAATAAAACTTTTACTTTATCTTTCTTATCTTTGTAAAATTACTTTTATTCTTTGAGAATTTCATACAGTGTATTATGATCATATCTTCCTCTCATATACACATTACACACCCATATTCATGTCTTTTTAATTTTTTGGGGGGGGTCTCTACTGAGCCAATATGTGTTGCCTAACCATGCTCAGGCCTGGGACCTTCCCTAGAATTTTGTTCACGCAATGCTCACATCTTTAAAGAAAATTGACTCTTTTTGTTCCAGAAGCTACCTGACAATAGGGCCTCAACTAAGGGTTAGATCTCTTGCCTACCTGTCCTCTGGGATTTTGGTGACTTGAGTTTGGGTAGGTCTTGTGCATGCTGTCACAATTGCTGTGAGTTGCAGATGTGTAACTGCCCTGTTGTCTGGAAGGCCCTGTTCCCTTGCTATTGTCCATCACCTGTGGCTCTTACAATCTTTCCAGGCCCTTTTCAGCAATGATCCCTGAGGTTTGGGGAGAGGAGTGTGACAGTCATGTTCCTTTAGGGACTGAGAACTCCACGGTCTCTTATTTTCTGCATGTTGACCAGTCATGGGTTTCTGTGTTACTGCCATCTGCTGCAAGAAGGAAGTTCTCTGGTGAGAGTTGAGAGATATGATAATCTAAGAGTGCAGCAGACAGTCATTAGGAGTCATTTTAATACTATGTTGTTTAGTAGACTGTTAATAGCAGGTTTTCCCCTGGGAGCTATGATCTATCTATTCACAGGTTCATGGCCCAGATACTGATAGATGTGGATTTCATTCTGTGGAGCAGACCTTAATGCCAATCTGAGGGTGGCTAACTACTCTTACAACATTCACATCAAATGGCACTAGAGGGCATCCCTTGCCATGCCATTCAGTATTGTAGTATGTGAAGTTCACAGCTGGGTAAAAGTAATGATTGCTTTTCTCTTCTGGTACCATGTGTAGCATGCACAGCACTTTTCAGCACTCTGAAAGTAAACCATTAACAATGAAATTTCCAGGTCTGTACCTACTTTCTTTCTCCTGTGTTTTATAGGGATTCAAGTATATGTTGTCTTCATAAATAAGGTCTTACTCTCAAGTTCAGGAGGGAAATTAAGAGCATTGGCAGTAGACTATAATGTTTGGGAGTCTATGGGATCCCACTCGCCAACAACTCAGAGAGGTAAACCATTCTTAGTACTGAGTTTTATATGCAAGAATGAAATGTCCAGTTGTCCGGTTGAGGTATTGTCTCCCCATTACAGGGTAACTCTGTTTAAACTCTTTTTATATAAGTGTATGTATATAGCTTAAAGGGCTTCTACATTAGAAGGTTCCATATTACTTTTCAAAAGTTTTTTGGTGTTAGGTATCCCTTTCCGTATTTCCTCTTCTACCCTCCCCTC